CTCAGACCTTCAAGTATAGGAGTTGGGACGTCATGTTGAGGTTGTACAGGATGTTGATGAGGTCTCTTGTGGAGTACTGTGTGCAGTTCTGGTCGCACTGTTATGGGAAGGATATTATTAAACTGAAGAGGGATCAGAAAAATTTACCAGGATGTTGCCTGGAATGGAAGGTTTGAGTTATAAAGATAAGATTGGATAGACTGGGAAGTTTTTCATTGGAGTGTAGGAAGATGAAGGGTGGCCTTATAGAGGTTTATAAAATCACAAGGTACATAGATAATGTGAATAACAAAGGTCTTTTCCCTAGGGCAAAACTAGGGGGCATTTTTAGGGTGAGAGGAGAAAGATTTAAAAGGACATAGCAAGGATGTTAATAAACTGGAAAGACGAAATTTACAAAGATGGTGCTAGGACTCAAGGGACTGAGTTATAGGGAGAGGTTGGACAAGCTGGGACTTTTTTCTTTAGAGTGTAGGAGACTGAGGGGGAATCTTATAGGAGCGTATAAAATCATGAGAGGCATGGATAGGGTGAATGTACTGAGTCTTTTTCCCACGGTTGGGGAATTGAGGACTAGAAGGCATCAAGTTTAAATTAAAAGGGGAAAGAATACATGGGAACCTGAGGGGCAACTTTTTTACACAGAGGGTGGCACGCATATGGAATGAGCTGCCAGCAGAAGTGGTTGAGGCGGGTACCTTAACAACATTTAAATGGTATTTCAATAGAAGGATATGGGCCAAGTGCAGGGAAATGGGGTTAGCATGGATGGACATTTTGGTTGGCATGGACCAGTTTGGGCCGAAGGGCCTGTCTCTGTGCTATGACTCAATGACATGAGGGGTAATTTTTTCACACAGACAGAGGAAATGAACTGCCAGAGGAAGTGGTGGACGCAGGTATAGTTACAACATTTAAAAGACATTGAGGTAAATGTATTAATAGAAGAGGTTTGGAGGGATAGGGCCAAATGCAGGTGAGTGGGACTAGTTTGGTTTGGGAACATGGTATGCATGCATTGGTTGGACTCAAGGGTCTGTTTCCATCCTGTATGACTCTGAGATGTATTATGTTTAATTATATATAGAGAGAGCGACGCTAATATTTGACATCCATTGATGCGCCTGCACTTTTTGGATTGGTCAACACGTGAGGATATTACAATATGAAATAGTAGGAACTGCAGATGCTGGAGAATCCGAGACAACAAGGTGCAGAGCTGGATGAACACAGTAGGCCAAGCAGCATCATAGGAGCAGAATATTTTGCGTTTGATGTTATTATTTCGCCAAGAAAAAAAAAAGTAAACGGCGTCCTTGCGAGAGATTTTGTTCGATTGTGAAACCTCCAGGCCCTGTTTCTGCATTGCAGACGTTGAGTCAGACACGTATTGGGGATTTATGGCTGGTCTAAAAGCTGAAATTGACAAGAGCACGGGGAACCACTGAACCAGCAAAGCGAAAAGGCTGTCATCTACGTTGTCTATGCAAACCTCGGCGGAATAAAAACCCTGATTTAATACTTTTCAAAACAAATTGCAAACTATGAATATGTTCTCAGTTTAGGATAGCTGACCTGTGATAACATGTTGCAATTTTAACATATTGGTCACATTGACATAAATAATTGTCAATGTATAAGTAACTTGCAACTAGACTCTGAATTATTTCAAACACTGAGATTATTGAAAGCTGTATCTCCATAAACGGCCACCGTAATTACACGTGTAAAAATCGCGTGTAATACTGATCCATGAGCCGCCGGTTTATTCCATTTGTTACGCAGTGCTTTGTTTCTAAATGTATCATTATTGGAATGAACTGTTTCAGTTCAGTTTTATGAAGCTGGGAAGCACCCTGTTTAGTAATGAAGCGCTCAAAATCTGGGGATTGCACTGAGATTTATGGCTGATCTCAGCCAAATGCAGAGTGGGGTGATAGCAGAGTAGCAAATTGTCTCGGTTATATATTGGGGGTCGGCGTGGGGAGAGTAAAGAAATTAGCTGCTGATGGTAATAGTGCCCAGACATGAGCACAAAATCCCAGCTGAAGTTCCCAGTGCAGGATTGAGGAAGTGCTGCACTGTCACAGGTGCCATCATTCAGATGAGACATTAAACCAACCTGCCCCTAGAAAATAAATACAAAATATTACGATGCTGGAAATCTGAACTAAAAGCAGAAAATCTTGGAGAAACTCTGAGGGCCTGCAGCATTTTTGGAGAGAGAAACAGAGATAACATTTCAATGTGACTCCACTTCAGAACTCTGTCTATTCTCTCAGTTGGATGTATAAGATCCCATGGCACTGTTTTAGTTGAACAGCAGATGTCCTGAGAGTTAACACTCAACCTACATCACTACAATACATTATTAAATCATCCTCACACAGCTCTTTGTGGGATCTTGCTGTGTGCCAATTTGTTGCCAAGTTTCCTACAACACTGACAAATTTCAAAGAGTACCTCATTTATGGTAAAGCATCTTGAGGTTTATAAATGTGCTGTATAAACACAAGTCTTTCCTTACATGGGGTGATAACCTACAAAGAGATTTTTGAGAAATGAAGGCATTTGCACTTGGGTTGAAGAGATTAGAGGGTTTACCTGACAGATTGTCTAGATTGTGAAAGTTTACGATATGGTAAATAACTACAGAGGTGAAAGGGCACAAATCAAAGACAAATCAAAGAATTAAAGGGTGGTTAGGATTGAAATTTTACACAAAAAATTCCAATTGAGGCAGTGAGATTACGATAATATTTCTCATAGCAGAGTTAGGTATTGTGCTGACAAAAAAAATGTAGAGAACGCAGAGACTGAGCGGGAGAGTGGGGTTGGGTAGTGTTGCTCTTTTGGAATATTATGCAAGCCTGTAAATAGTGGAGTCAGGTCAGAGGAGTGTTCCGGGTCAAACCATCTTCAGCTGCTTCATTATTGACCTTCCATCCATCATAAGGTCAGAAGTGGGATGTTCGCTGATGATCGTACAATGTTTATCACACTCACAACTTTTCAGGTACAGAAGTAGGTCATATCCAGATTCAGCAAGACCTGAACAACCTCTTGGCTTGGGTTGCTAAGTGGAAAGTAACAGTTGTTTCACACAAATGCTATGCAATAACCATCTCCAACAAGAGAGATCCCCTTAACATTCAATTACCATCACTGATTCCTACTGTCATCATCCTGAGGACTACCATTGACCAGAAATGGAAATGGACCAAAGGTATAAACACTGTGGCTGTGTGTGCATGTCAAAGGCTGGAATTTCTGTGGATAGTAACTCACCTTCTGACTCCCCAAACCTGTCCACCATTGACAAAGCACTAGGCAGGAGTGTGATGGAATACTTGGATCAGTGCATGGATCAGTGCAACTCCAAGAACACTCAAGGTTCTTAATGCCATCCAAGACAGGATTGCCAACTTGGTTGGCACTCCAACCGTCAACCTTAAACACTCCCTTCACCTCAGGTATACAGCAGTTGCAATGGCCAGCATCTACAAGATGCACTACTGCAACTCACCAAACCTCCTTACACAGTACCTGCAAGCTCCTCCATCTAGACAGAGGAGGGCATCAAATGAATGAGAACATCACCAATTCATTACCACTGGAGAGGCAGTGGCCTAGTGGTATTATTGCTGGACTATTAATCTAGAGACCCACATAATGTTCTGGGGACCTGGGTTCAAATCCTGCCACAACAGCTGGTGGAATTTCAATTCAAAAAAAAATCTGGAATTAAGAGTCTAATGATGACCATGAATCCAGTGTCAACTGTTGGGAAGAACCCATCTGGTTCAATAATGTCCTTTAGGGAAGGAAACTACCATCCTTACCTGCCCTGGTGTACATGTGACTCCAGACCAACAGCACTGTGATTGACTGCTAACTGCTCTATGGGCAGCAAATGCTGCCTGGCCAGTGACACCCCCATTCTGTGAATGAATAAAACAAGTTCCCTTTTAATTTACACTTTGAAATCTATCACTAATCCTTCAATGGATCAAATCCTGAAAGTCCCTGCTGAGTGCAGCAGCATTTTTGGAAGCATTTTCACGACACAGGTGGGAAAACTTCAGATAGAAAGTGAAATGTGTGACTGATAACAAACTAACCTATTTTTCCTTAAGGTACATTATTAAATAATGTATTGTTACATTGTAACATTTTCTTTAAAATCAGTGCAAATACAAATCTGCAACATTCACTTATTCCCAACTCTTTGCCAAAGGGCACAGAAACTTGACATTTTCATTTTTAATTTGTTTGTTGCAATGTGTTGAGGAACCTTTATATCAGCCTTGCATTGTTCCTGTTCTGGGAGTGTTTGATTGGGAAAGTTTACAGAGTGCTTTACTTTCAGTTTAAAAGAGTAAAGGGAGCTTTACTCTGTAGCTAACCCCATGTTGTACCTGTTCTGGGAGTGTTTGATGGGGATAGCGTGGAGTGAGCTTTAATTTCTGTTGAAAAGAGCAGAGGGAAATTTACCCTGGATCTAATCACATACTATCATTGTCCTGGGAGTGTTTGATGGTGACAATGCAGGGAGAGCTTTACTGTGTATCTAACCCCACACTTTACTTATCCTGGGAATGTTTGATGAGGTCAGTGTACAGGAAGCTTCACTCTGTGTCTAACTCCATGGTGTACCGACCCTGGGAGTATTTGATGGGAATGGTGTAGACGTTGCTTTATTCTGAATCTAACCCTCAAATGTACACGTCCTGGGACTTTACTTAATTACTTAAACTTGTATTTTTTGAATATGGAATGTGCATATGTGAATATGAAATGCTCTGAATACTTTGTGAGTGATGGTAGGTGTTGAATGGGATACAGTCAGGGAAGGTTGACACGGACCATGACCGGCAAAGACTACAGAAAGCAAACAGGACTGTCATCTGGAAATAACACAATGTGGAACCTGAGGAACACAGCAGGCCAGGCAGCACCAGAGGAGCAGGAAGGCTGACGTTTCGGGTCAGGACCCTTCTTCAGAAAGTGTTGAAGTTGAAGGTCAGTTCTGAAGTTGAAACCTCTGCTATCCCATCAATATCCATTTGCCTTTGGAACAGTCCCTTTCGCCTGCGATGCCCAGCCATCAAGCGCACTTTCCTGCGGATCATGTGAAGTTCCTCTCTGTAATCCTTGTGATGCATTTGGATGTATCCCCGAGGTTCACAGAATGTCTACTTAAACAGAGAGGTGGCTTAAGATATCGCAGCATTCACAGAAAAGTGCAGTCACATTGCCAGAGCTGAACACCTGCCTTCAAATAAACTATCTCCCTCTTTGACCCCTGTTTTAATTTCTCTCCGAAATCTTAATTTGCCTATTTTTTCCAATAAAACCTTCTTTCATTCCTGGCTTCTTTCCTTTATCGATTATAGTTTCCTACTTTATCTGCCTATCCAGCTTTCCCTCCCTGTCTCTCTCTCTCTGAATCTCTGTGCAACTTTCATCTGCCAGCGCCCTTTGAGTCTCTTTTCCTATCTCCCATTCACGCTGTGCGTATTAGCATATTTCTCTCTCTCATTCTATCTCTTTCAGTCCCTCTCCATCCCATTGTCTTTCACACTGGTTCCTCACTCTCTATTTCACTCTGAGTTTCTTTCTTGGTGTCTCCAACTACCAATGTTGCATTTCCCCTAATAGGCCCTGCAACATTCATGACAGATTGGTATAAACTCAAGATATACTCTGTAATTGGAATTTCCATCAATCTTCTGACAGGACCATGTCCCATTAGGAGAAAATAAGGTTATTCCCAATTTTTCTCTCTTTCCCAGATCTGTCTCACACTTTATTGGTCTCTTTTTGTCTTCCCATGTTTCTTGCATTCCCTTTTCATTTATTGCACCGTCTCTTGCTTTCTATCTTTTATCTGCCTCCTTTTTCATCTCCCTCTCTATCATTCCCCCCCCTTTTCTCTCATATGCACTCTAGACATGATTGTAATTTACACAAAACCTTATGTTCATACAGAGTTAAAATTGGGTCCTCTATTTCTGCCACTCCCCACTGGCCCCTGCTAACTGATGACCATCCCAGATGAGTTACCGCAAACTCCTGGAAGAATTCCTTGTATCCGTTCTTTAAAATGTAAAGCTCCGGAAAGCAGAGGTTTGGATATACGTTTGCATTTCGGTCCATTCTCCTGAGACTCCGACAACTGGGAAGAACAGAAAGAAAAACAGAAAATGAATGTTGCATTGGCAACAGGATATCAATTTGATCAGGTTTTTTTTAATAACACAGCAGCCACTGGTTCAATCTCACATTTACATTTTTTTGGGTTATTTGTGATTTTTGAAATCCGATAGCACAACACATTTTAATTCTGAGTTGCCCACGTTAATTTCACGTAACCTGCTGCTTTAGTGGAAGATGGTGTGTTGTGTTTACACCTGGGATTTCTTGTTGGACTTGACTTGAATCTTCAGTGAGTCAGCTGTTTGTGAGCCCAACAACAAGAGAAAGAACATAAAAAATGGGCACTACCAACATTTTGGGGGTTACCATTGAACAGAAACTGAACCAAACCAGCAACAGATGTGCTATGGTTACTGTAGTGATTGTAACAAGGTCGGCGGGGGGACCTCTTACAATGAGTTCCTGATTGGACCAGGTTAACAGCCCCAATCAGGGAGCCCTGGCTGACAGATATAAACAGGAGTGTCAGAGGTTCTGTTCACTCTGACAGCTGGCTCTGAAGAAGCTGGATCAGTGTCAAGGACTCTTCACATGGAAATAAAGGATGACTTGGTGATGGGAGTTATTTCCACGATAAGCAGCATTCCCATTAATTTTCTTATCACCTGCACAGCCTCTGAGGCCCATGCATGGCAATGAGTTCTGAAATCGGAAGTCAATGCCATGATTGGCGTTGCCAATACCGATTGTCTTGCACGGAGTATCGGCGTGGCTGTGCGCACACGCAGCTTAAAGAAAAAAATTGGTTATAAGACTAGGTCAGAGGCTGGAATTTCTGCAGCGAGTAACTCTCCTCCTTTCTTCCCAAAATTTCTCAATCATTCACAAGGCACAAATCAGGACTGTAATGGAATACCTCTTGCCTGGATGTGTGCAGCTCCAACAACACTCACAAAACACCATCCAGGACAAAACAGCCTACTGGATTGGCAAACCATTCACCACGTTCAACATGCACTCCCTCCACCAGCAGATGCTCAGCAGGAGCCGTGTTGACCATTAATAAGATATGCTGCAGCAACAGACTAAAGCTCCTTCAACAGCAGCTTCCAAACCCCATGACCACGACCATCAACAAGGCCGAGGGCAGCAGATACATGGAAACGTTACCACCTGCAAGTTCCCTCCAAGCCACTCACCATCCCGACTTGAAAAAAATGCTGTTCCTTCAGTGCCCCAGGACAAAATTCTGGAAATCTCTCCCCAACAGCATTGTGGGTCCACCTACAGCACATGGACTACAATGGTTCAACATCACTTTCTCAAGGGTAATAAGGGATCTGCAATAAATACGCCCCATACCACAAACAAATATAAGACAAAGTACTTTTGAAATGTAGTCACTGTTTTAATGTCAGACAATTTACAAACAATTTGCTCATGGCAAGCTTTCACAATGATCAGATAATTTGTTTTTGTGATGTTGGTTAAGGAATAAATATTGGCCATAACATTGGGAATAATTCATATTGTGATTCTGAGTTGCCCACGTTAATTTCACATAATTTGCTGCTTTAGTTGAAGATGGTGCAATGTGTTTGCATCTGGGATTTCTTATTAGACTTGACTTGCATCACCAGTGACTCAGCTGTTTGTGAGCCCAACAACAGGAGAAAGAAAATAAAAAGGGGACACTACCAACATCCATAATGCTCCTCTTCCAAATGGTGCTAGGGGAGCTTTCACATCTACCTGAGGAGGCAGAAAGGAACTTGATTTATCATTAGTATCTGACAGACAGCACATCCAACAGCGCAGCACTCCCTCACTACTGCACTGGGAAATCAGCCTGGATTGTGGGCTCAGGTCTCTGGAGTGGGACTCGAACCCACAGCTTTCTGACTTGGAGGTGTGATTGCTACTCACTAATGTATAGCTGGCACATAAGGAGAGAATGGGGGTGGGAGCAGTAACCACACCCTAAATGCACGTGTGTGTGTGTGTGTATCTCTGTGTGTGTGCCTGTGTGTGTGTCTGTCTGTGTGTGTGTCTGAGTGTGGATGTGTGTGGGTGTGTGTCTGTGTCTGTGTGTGTGTGTGTGTGAGTGTCTGTGTGTGTGTGTCTGTCTGTGTGTGAGTGTCTGTGTGTGTGTGTGTCTGTGTGTGTGTGTCTGTGTGTGTGTGTGTG